AAGATCTTTGAGAGCTGGATCTTAGTAATTTAGGAATTTTTGGTTTATCAAAAGTAATACTTATCTGACCATTATCAGATTGTTCAATTTCTGTAACATTACAACTTGTAACATTATGAGTTAATGAGTTTCTTTTAATTCCTTTATTAATTTGCCAAGATTCTGGGAATTCAATTTCTTCTCATTTAATAGTTTTACGAGTACTAATTTGAGATTTATAAAAATTAGTTTCTATTAGTATAGTTTCATCAGATGGTTTACTTATAATCTTACATTTGGGTGTTAAGGTATTTAATAATTTAAAACAAATACGGTAGTGTAAACAAATAAGTTCACTTCCCGATAAATAATTATAACCATGTAATTTTACATTTAAGGTTAAAGCATCGAGTATATTAACATCAGACAATGATAACTGTAAATTTGGATAGACATTAAAATAAACTGGGCCATGAGCTAGGCTGGACTGTATTATGCCCATTAGGGATTTTTTCCAATGTAAATTTCTACCATCACGTAAGGCAGCAACAAAAGATTCAGGTAAACCTTCTAAAGTTAAAGGTTTAAATGCAATTTGCACCAATCCAATATGCATAAACTTATAATTTTTATGAGATCTATATGATTCAATATCTGTAGCAGACAAAAGTTGTAAAACCCTTTCATCAGAATTTAAAGTAATTGATTGTTCAGTAGTTTTAACTACCTGTTTAACCAAGTATCGATCAAACATACCATATTCATACAAAGTATTAGTGGGTACCTTTGGTATTGACCATTTATTAAGAAGAGTAAGCTGTTGAGGCATATCGTATTTCTCTTGAACTGAATTTTTTATTGAGGTTGTTTCCAAATTATTCATTTTTAGATTAGGTTCTGAATCAAACAAATCTTTTGTAAACATAAAAAATACATAACCGCCTCGGGCTAACATATACACATGATACACTTATAAGTGATGCTTCAGCTTAATAGAATTACTAAACTATACACACTTTTTATTTCCTCCCTCAACTGCTACATAACTAGATTTTAGACTTAATCTCGACTAGCATTTCCATTTCCATTTCCATTTCCATGCTCGCGCTTTATGAAGTAACTAAATAGTGCACGGCCATGCTGAGCCAGAAACCAACTAAAATCAAACAAAACAACTTCATATTAGAGGAAAGAAAAATTAATTAAAAAAAAGGAATCACAAGAGAGTAATGATACTGAAGTAAAAAAAAAAAACAAATGATACATTAAAAATGCAGACTGTGTTCTGGAAAAAAAAAAAAAACTGTGAGCTAAATAAAGTGCTTAAAAATTCACCGCAAAAAAAATACCCAATCACAATGGTTCTAGAGCGTGCTGGTGAATTGATCATAAATTTAACAGAGGCATCACGGTGATCTCTACACGTGACCTACAAAGGGAAACAAACATCAAACAGGAAAAAAAGAAAAGAAAAAGAAAAAAGCAAAGGTGAAGAACATTACTTGACATAAAAGTGTAAAAAATACTCGCACCATCCTAAAAAACTAGTCCACATTTAATTATTAAAATTATATTAAAAATAGTATAAAATTCAAAATGCAATACGGATTATTATTTTTTTTTTTTGGACGGAGGGAGTACAATAAAACACAATTCGGTGTAAGCATTTCCAAGTACTTTGATAATCTCACTTGTAAAACAGCTATCGGTTGTCCAAAGAAGGCTAATTGTAGGTAATTGTGTTACAGGATTCGGTCACTTAAGAGAGAATAACCTTAAGGGTCATGATTTGATTCCTCCACACACACACACACACCGATATATATATATATATATATATATATATATATATATATATCAACAGATACAAAGATGCAAATGAACACCAAACAATTTTTATTTATTTATTTTATTAAATCTGAACATAGAAATTATTAGTTTTGAATGAGAGGAACTAAAAAAATTTTAAAAACCCGATGATAAACATGATAGAGATGGACCATTTTAATTATTATAAAAATTATGAACCCATAATGTGAATAATAAAATTCTTTTTAATAGACCCTAATAAAGGAACTCTAGTTTATTTAGGTTCAAAATGGACCCGATTCCACTTGATGAAAAATTTATTTCGCTTCATCCATCAAATTAATTGTTTAGGGTAAACTAATTTCACTCCAACTGAATCTATTCATATCCGGTTTGAATTTTGTTCGTAAAAAGATTTTTTTTTTTCCGGCATAATCAGGCTGTAAAATGATTAAAACACAATTCCAAAACATATAAACCTATGCATGTTGGGACAAAAAAAATTATACTCGCGAGTTCCAAAATGAGTATCCTATATATTACGTTATTTGATTTTAATTAGAAACAAAAAGTGACAAATTTCTTACATGATTTTGGTCACTTAACACGTGAAGCACTAGTATTTCTTGACCATCACAAATATATGTATGAAGTAGGTACTTTAACACGTGAATTTCACAATTAACAATATTGAAAATCAAGTGTTAATAATTTTGTTAGGGGTGTGGTAAGTAAGATATGGATCGATATTACTACTACCCATCTAACCAATTAAAGGGTTTTATCCCATTGTGTGGAATTCCATACCATGTCGCATTCAAGGATGATTCACCCCCACAATGACTTCCACATATGAATATATTGGGAGCTTCTTCTACACATTTTACTATTTTCGGGTTTCTAAAATCATAGCAATTTGTTAGAGTAATCAATTTCTTAAATGAAAAATGGTAACTTTCAAAGAATACGAATTGATTCTGATTCAAATAAATAAGATTCTTTTAAGTAGGATGAAGGATGTTCAATAGAGAGGGCCTCTCTGTTTGGGAGCTTTTTTTTTCCAAAATTATTAAATAATAAATATCACATCCAATATATTTTTTTTTTACATTTTTTATACACCAATTCACATTTATAATAAAAAAACACTTAAAAATAAACATTGAAAAAAATTATGTGTTAGTTGCAATATATGTATATACAATTTGGGCTTCTAGAATCTGCCAAATAAAAGGGAATCGTGGGAATGGGACTTTTGGTTTTTTCATGCTTTCTCTCCGTTCACCTCTTCGAAGCTAATGTATACAAAGCTCAATAATTCATGAAAACTAATGTTTCGTTGTTAGCTAGTTCTCATTCTTTTTTAATTTTTAATTGATGTATATTTATCTTCTCAATACATATTTATACACTGTCATAGTTTTTTATTATATCAATAAAAAAACACACGTTATAAATATAATTGTAACAGAATCGTGTCACGACAATATAGTGTAGGAGCTGAAGTCAAAACCCAACCCCAAGGCCATAAATCAATCAGAAAATCAGAGTCATGCTTGCACTATTGATCAACAAACAAATCATAAACCCTTTGGAGTTTTTGGACGTTTTCTTGTACTTGAAGTCTTATAAATCCTTCTTAGGAGCTACAAATCCTACAATATACAAGTTAGAAAAGCGAGAAACGAGTCATAGTCGGGTGAAAAAAAAAAACCCATACATATGCAAATAGAGTGTATTATATAAGGTAGAATATTTTAGGAAATATAAAAACAGGTTCAAACCGTGATCATTGGAAAAATATAACAGAAATTTATTATAAAAAAAAAGGGATTTTAAGTCGGTTCAATTTTGTGAACTTTATATTATACGTTCTCATTAGGGCAGACTTGATCTGCGAAATGATAAGTTGATTATAATTTGGGACTTTAGGGGAATGGAAAAATCCCCCAAACATATTGGCATGACCAGTGTTGTTGTCTTCATCAATTGCACCCGTGACCAAAATCCATAAACATGAATAATGTAATTATGGAGATGGAAAATTGGGGCTATGCACTAACCATTGATCACATGGATATCACCATTTCACCATTAGTGTTTTGTCTTCAAAGTACCGTTGTCTAAATTTAAAACAAGTGTATTGACATGGACAGAACAAGGACCTATCGAAAAGATTTTCCCAAGTTCTGGTTGTAATCAGTTTTTCTAGTAAAAGTTCAAGGACTAGTTGTTGATATGAGATCAAAGTAAAGAGACTATTGTAGCAATTTATTGTCTCTCAACATTTTCATTTACGCCTATAAATTTTACTACATATTAAAAATGAACACATTTTTATGCTGGTGTTCCTATAATGTGAACTAATTCCATCAATCGATGTAATTGAAAACTTTGAAGATCATACTAAGGTAATGTGATCACAAAATAACATATTTAGACATTAAATACCAATATGAAAGACTGGTACAAATAAGTGTATCTTGGTGGAGTTAAATAGTACTCCCTCCATTCCAAAATAAGTGTCGTTTTAGTAAAATGGAGAAGTTTCAAAATAAGTGTCGTTTTCGGATTCCAATGCATTTTTTCTCAAAAATTTCCAAACATACCCTCAAAAGAAATAATATTATTGGTGATCATTTATTTTAATGGGATTGGTTGAGGATATTCTAGTAATTTAGCTATCATATTTAATATTTTCTTAAACTTTGTAAAAACTCTAGAATAACACTTATTTTGGAATGGAGGGAGCAAGGAGTTTCCTCTTAAAATGTTGTTTCGATTTTGTGCATGGGGAAACATCTGTTTACGTACTTTTGACTGTCGAAGAAGACCACCCAGATCAAATAACAATTATTGTGAACGTAGTATACTTGTCCGTTATAATACTTCACGATTCGTTACTACAAATTAAATAATTTGTAAGATGAAAATGATTTTAAATGTTATATGTATCTACTTATAATAGTTCACAATTCGTGTCCAAAATAGTGGAGGTAAGATGAGCAGAAAACTTCTCAATCATGTCTTTTCCCTTCTCACAATATTGTTGCCTTACATTAACATTATTAGGTCCATTACCAAAGGGTCCAAGGCACTAATCCAAGCATACAAAAAAACAACAAATAAGACTAAATTTAAAAAGGAGGAAAGAAAAAGGAATGGTTCCTATATAAAGCCCTGATTTTAGAAAAAAGGGAGCTAAATTCAACTACCAAACAAACACACTTAGTTATTATACTCTCTCCTCTCTCAAAAGTATCCATGGCTTCCGGTAGTGGTGGTCCGGCGGCAACCCATAAAAGCCGCCGCCACCACCACCACCACCGAATTGAGCCAATACCAGCTTATGACGACCACCACCACCACCACCACGGCGGTGCTGCTTCCGCCGACACAACCGCATTTTCAGCTCCACTGATTTTCCGGCCAAAATCAACTCCTCGCCGGAATAATAATAACCCATCCTTATCTTCATCATCATCATTCTCGTCACTTAATTCGTCATCATCTTCTAATGGGTCACTCTCATTAAGCTCTCTTACACTTCCAGATGATTCTCCGTTTAGTACTCCGGCTAGAACTCCTCTTAGCAGATTTTCCGGCGTACCCTTCTCTTGGGAGCAAATTCCGGGAAAACCCAAGAACGAGGAAGCCACAAAAAAGCAAGACTCAGCACAATCAAGTCTTCTTCTTCTTCCATTGCCACCGGCAAATAACAACAACAATTCTTCTTCCTTCAGGAAGAACAGCAATAAAGAAATAGCCATGATTGACAATTTGGTGAGCAATATTTCTCCAAGAAAATCTTCCTACGACCCGAATGAAAGCTTCAGAAAAGACCCATTTTTCGCAGCATTTGTTGAATGCTCTAAGGACGATGTTCATCTTCACCGGAAATACTGGAACGGGTCATTATCATCTCCATCAACAAAAATGGTTCCGGCGAAAAGTAATTTAATTGGTCGTTTTGGATTCATCAATATGTATTCTTCTTGCAAAATGAGTTGTGGAGTTGCAGAATCCATGGTTTTAGTTCCGAGAAGAAGATCATCTAGAGCTTATAATTTGATCAATCGCCGCTCAATTTAGCTGAAAAAAAAAATGTTAGCTGAATTAGTAGTACGGGCAGGAAGCATCATCCATATTGTCCATAGATAAGTGTATGTTTTTTTTTTTTTGTTTTCTTCTATGAAATTACTCTGTTTTACTCTGTTTTCAGTCTCCAATGGATAAATTATACTTTACTTTCTTTTTCTTTCTGGCCCCCCTTTTTTTTGGGGGGGAAAAGACACTTTTACGTTGGTTACTTCAGAAAATTTCAGATACGTTCTTTTGAGCTGTAGACTGTATATTGTGAAATAGCCGTTTAATTCTGATTATCGATATGGTAGCATAGCATGCATACTTAAACCAAATTAAAGAAAAAAAAATAGAGTTGTACGTAGTAATACTCCTGATGTTAGTGGTTTTGTTAAAGAAAAAGAATGTCGATTTCTTTGAAATTTGGACTATGAATGTCGGGTTCAGGTCCAAACAATAATCGACGCTAATAATCTTGATATCATGTGTTTGAGTTTTTAGCGAGCGTTGTACATTATTTTGATAACACTTGAGTTGTATTTTACATTCATTTCACAATATAGTCTATCGTATATAGTAATTGAGCAAACTGAAGATTGCAAAAACAAAATGGAACAAATTACCTTTTTTTTTTTTTTTTTTTTTTCCTTTTTTGCTATTGCGGAGATGTGATAATATATATGCCGATCGAAGTCAATGATCTTCCATTTGAGTTGTGAAGAAAAGATCAATATACTATTGTGCATTATTATCAACTTGGAACAAGTGTCAAATCGACAAATCCCTTTAGTTTAGAATAAATTTTCGTCCTATTTGGAGAGAAACATATATATATATATATATATATATATATAAAATCTTATGATTAATTATTTGGAAGAATTTTGTAGTATATAGAATCACAGGTTTCCCTTCTGTAACCCATGTGAGAGGGAATTCATTTGTATGGCAGTGGAACACACACTATGTGACTATGAGTGTAACTTACAAGTTACACAATTGTCAATTTGCATGTGAAATCATGCATTTATAAGTTGTCGGGACATAACAGTGGAAAATGACAACCATATTATACGCATATTACATTTGTTTATTTATTTAAGTTTGAAATTTAATTTTGAGAGGACTAAGGACACAATTTAATTACTTTTTTTTTCCCATCAATATAAAAATAATTTAAATAGGGCTGCTGTATTTGTTCAATTTTGTGAGGTCATGGTTTAAGAAAACGACCTAAAGAGAACTTTTACCTAATTTTGGTATTTTCGCTACGAGTCATGATCATTTAGATTCATACCAATTGTTTCAAAATAATTAGTAATAAGATTACACAATTAGGTGAAGGTTGAACTCTGTCTTTGGGCTAAACCAAAAAAAAAAAAAAACATCTATTAAATAATCTTTTGTTAAAATATAAGAGAAAATTTGACTAAAGGGCGGTAAAATAGGTTAAATTAATAAAAGAGGTATGACCTTAAAATATTTTTTATAAAGGGCCGTCGTTTAATAGTCAAAAATCACAATATTAATGTAATTTTATAATGACGTAATTATCTTTATTTTTTAATTTGAATCATAATTTTCACAAATAGTACAGTGCCCCTCAACGGTACAAAGCCTCGAAGACTCGCAACAATGTATACACTAGAAAACAAGGTTTATCAGTAGGCTTCACAATTTTCCTAATCTGATACTCCAGAAATATGCATTAGGTGGAGTGCTCCGCTTCATCTCTGAAAAACCCTAGAAATCTATTGAAAGAGGAAGAGGAAAACATGGCTAATTTTCCTCTCCTCTTGATTCCTTTGCCCTATAACTTTCGCAGTTTAGTCTCAATGGGATGCGCAGTTTGTTCCAATTGAAACAATACACTAACGAGTGTTAAATTCAAAGAAGAATTACATTTCCAACTCCTAACTTTTCACTGCTAGCCGGACATATTTGCCATTAATATCATAGTACGCGCGTGATAAGCTTCTTCTTATCATGAAAGATTGCCAAAAGCGCCTTGGAAAGATTGCCGATGGACTCTGAAATTAAGCCTCCACGAGATTGGAATCGATGGCCAATAACTTTAATCTGTCAATTCCCTTGAAAAAGGATTTAAGCTTTCTTTTTTTATTTTTTTTCAAAGAAATTATAAGGGTGGTACTGTCAATTCAAATTTTTTTTATTTTATGATTTTTTTATAGTTAAATTACCGCCCTATATGCAAAATATTTTAAAGTTATACTTCTTTTATTAAATTGATATGTTCTATTGTCTTGTAGCCAAATTTCTCCAAAAATTTTAAATATATTTGAACGGATAGTGTTATTAAATTGGATTGATTTGACCAAAATGATGTGTCGGTTTCACTATATATGGACCCAATGTGTTTTAATACTTTTTTTGGTGTTAAAATGATATTTATATTACAACAAAAATAATACTCCCTCCATCCCATAATTATTGTCCAGTTTTATTAAAATAAAAAATTTTATTTTTAGTCAAACTTAACTATATTTTACCTTGAACAACCGGATATACCCCTACATAAGTAATTGTTTAACCACAAAGATTTTATAGATAATATTTTTTACTAAGGACAAATGTGTAACTTGATCCATTAAAAGTCAATTTGGACAATAATTTTGGGACAAAAATTTTTTGGCAAAGTGTACAATAATTATGGGACGGAGGGAGTAATTATTTTGACACCAAAAAAAATATTAATTTCGATATTAGAATTCACAACCAGCTTAAAAATTTGGATTCAAACCGAAAAGTACTTGTGACGAAGAATTTTCATTTTCAATTGTGCTTCTCTAGACCATTATCGCGCTGCAGAAAGCATGGATTTGTGAGAGAAAGTTTAACAATGATCTTTCTCTCTTCCCTTTACAGTTTAGTAATGATTTTGTCCTTTTCTTTTCCTTTTAGAAATCAATTAAATTGCATTCAAGTTCAAAAGCCAACTAGTATACGAAGGACTACTCAATCCTACGCTATTTTTCAAAGCCTTTGTCTAACTTCGGCTTGTGGAGATTTTCGCACTCCTAAATTAATAGAAAATCTATCCTTCATTATGTTAATCAATAATCTAACAAATACTTCTGGCAAGTTCACTTTGTACTTCACTATTCCCTCCCACCCGAAATCATCGTCCAGTTTTGCTTTTCATTTTTACTATAAATTGAACTAAAAGTAAAATTCCAAACTGGATAATAACTTTTAGACAGAAAGAATATATGTTTTCAAATCTACAAAAAACTTCTTCATTATCACAAACAATATACTCCCTCCATTCCAAAATAAGTGTCATTCTAGAGTTTGCACATAGTTTAAGAAAACATTAAATAAGGTAACTAAATTACTAGAATATCCTCAACCAACCCTATTAAAATAAATGCTCACCAATAATATTATTTCTTTTGAGAGTATGTTTGAAAATTTTTGACAAAAAATGCATTGGAATCTGAAAACGACACTTATTTTGGAATTTCTCTATTTTACCAAAACGACATTTATTTTGGAACGGAGGGAGTACTTTATAATATGTAATCAATCGTAAACAAAATATGCGACGCCACATTAATCAACAAGGTGATTATTCCTCTCCATCTCTTTCCAATTCATTAAACTCAACGTACTCATAATGTGTAAGTACATGATCATTGAAATTTAACTCGTAACCCTAACACAAGTAGTAGAAAAAAAGCAGTAAAAAACAAGAACAAAGTAATCCATCATATTCACTAAAATCCTAATAGTTGGACGTGCTATCTTCCACTAAAAACTCAGAAACGTGCATTTTGTCAACACCATGTACAATAAGGTAGAGCTGCACGAAATGCGCAGATGCAGTATCTATCTTTCATTAAATTTGTACCTTCCTGTTTGTATTCTTAGTTAGGTCAAAACAATTACTTCCCAATAGGTCCATAGTTGAAGAAAATCAATTCCAGAGAATACATTATATAAAAAGCACATGCAATAAGGAGTACACTAAAATATTAAATATCACCTTTTTTTGACATGACACTATACAACGATCACAAAATTCGATCATTATTAATGTCAGCTACAAAAACAGCTTCAACCCTCTAGATATTTCACATTCTCAAAGATTGTAATCTTTAATTAGCTAATCATATTGTATATATAAACGATTTCATTCGTCGTATATACACTTCTTCCTAGTACGTGTCAATTTCTGAAAGTATATATTGTCCATTCTAAGTCACAAGTGTAATATGTACACATGCGTATAGCTAATTAATCATACTTTCTCTGTTTCAAAATTATATTCTCATTTAAATTTTTATTTTTAATACGAATTGAACTAAAAATGAAAATCAAAATAGGACAATAATTTCAGGATAGAAGAAATGTTATTTTCGCAAGAACTCTCAGAAAATTATCTAAGTTCAGACTAGCTAGCTACTTGAACCTCAAAATTTAAGTCAGTAAATTGAATAATTACTCTCTACTTAATTTGTCTATGTGGAACCGGCGACACTCCGACAATCCTCAACAAAATATACACAAAGTTTATTCCACGAAAGTGAGTTTAAACTAAAGTTTCGGGTAGGCTCAAAGTAAGGTCTTTACTGTTTATTTATTTATTACAAAATGTAAGACTCCTACGTTGAAGTTGAACTTGTATGACTAGGTTTGCTAGTCCCCGAAAGATGGCCCTCAAGAATAAGGTATTTTTAGTGTGTGTTTATATCTAGCACTTTGCATATGATGATTAAGTTTTTGGGTGGTTTTTTCCGCTCCTTTTTTTTAATGAAAAATTTTGCTGAAATGTCTATGGCTGCCGAAAGAAGGTGCCTAAATGATTATGAACAAAGAGAAAGAGAGGTCCACTCGAATTGATGTCTTAACTTTGCTTAAATTTTAGTGCAACTTTCTTTGGCATATTCATCATTTGCTCGTGACGTTATGAAGGCCCCCAACGATAATTTTAAGTCAAAGGACAGGCATAAGAATAATCCAACTGCACCCCATAAAGAATCCAGACACACATACATAATACATTGCTTAACTAATTGTTTTTGAGGAAAAAAAAAAACTACTTAAATCCAATTTCTAGTCCAAAATTTTTAGAAATTCCCTCTCAAAGCAAGAAGACAAAGTATTTGTGGAAGAACAAATTACAACTTTTTTAACTAGTGATTATGTTTGTCCGTCCAAAAATATAAACATAAAAAAGAAAAACACCCGAGCATGCATTATGGATCTGTGACCACAACTGGCTAGTTTGAGCAGTGTATAATATAGTCAACTTTTCAAGTTTCAGTGGCTCCACATTTGTTCCGCTAGAGAGATCCTTCATCGTGTCTCACTATAACATACAGTCTCAGTATAATTATTTTTTTGGACAGAGACAGTACTCGTCAATCGATTTAATTATATATAATTACTGACTAATTGTTGTTTCCGTCGTAAGGTTTATATGGTATTAATGAATTTCTCTTTACCTTTGAAGGAGTTGAGATTTTGTATCCACATTTCTCACTGGGCTTGTTTTTTCATCTCATATATATGTTTTTTTTTTTTGCTGTTTACTTCCTGCATTGCGCACTAATACTGAAGCTTTTCATTAATAATAAAAAGTTTATGGATAAGAATTTAGTTGGAATATAACTTTGTCAAGTTTTTTCTTCCACGAAATATAATAGTTTAGCATTTTAGTATTTTAGGTTTTTGTCTCTTTCATTGTATATTAAAAAAAAGGGACATTTTCTATTATGTTTTTTTGGGCAGTAATGTTTTTGTTATTTATTTATTTTTTTTGAGGAGTGTCGTTCCAAATGGTCTAAAAGCTAATAAATCTTATTAATGAGGTTTGAAAAGTAATGAAAAAATAAACCAATTTTTAGGGTCTAAATATTAGTCCATTTCGAAGTTGGGTACAGCAACTTAAAATCTTTATATAGTTTAGGATGAATTCATTGGTCCTGCCAAAACGTTAGGATACATGAAAACAGCAATTTAACCCTACTGTTGAAATATACAAATGATAAGATTTATTTCTCTTTTTTTTTGGGGGGGGGTGTTTAAATGATAAGATTTGATAAATCATTGACATCCATTCATTCAGATAATGAAGTTACTAAATACTATTTCAAAAGATAAATTTAAAAATAAAGGGACTAAAAACCATTGTTTGATTTGTTGGTGGCTAGTTTAACAGCCTAGTTTTAGTTAGCAGTTTATAGAGAAAATAATCACAAGCTAAATAGCCTAATGTGCTGGATTAATCCGTCACATGTGTACATGAAAGGAAAAAAAAAAACCCTAACGCTAACAATTCAATGTGATTTAATTCTAGTCAAATCAACAACATCGGTAACTTGGCTAGAAAGTTGTTGCCCGATTTTATGTTTGGTTAATGTTTTGTTTTACTATCTCGCTGCATTCAGCAAGTTCTAAATATTCAGATTCAGTAGTTGTCTTAGCTTGATCAGATCCATACTCGATAGAAAGCTAGAGGTTCTTTTATGTTAATACTATTAGCATATCGAATATCGCACTTCTTGAAACTCGTGCAATTTTTTTTAATATATTACACATTCGGTATTCGAAATCATTGTTTCGACTAATTTGAATTCGAGTCAGATAAGTTTTTTTCGGAAGAACGCACAATATTTGAGTGATATTAGCGAATTAAGACTTTGTGAATAATGCATAATGTTTGAGTGTCAGTGTGGATCTCAGATCGGCTGCCCGGAACAAATTTTTTCCCGGATACACAAGTCTCCATATAATCTGTTTATGTACAAATTTGTTCCACAATTTTGAACTTCCCTTCAATTTCAAATGTGAACATGCATGATCCATATTATTAACTCTCCAAATACTATGATATATGCATGCAGTTACAATAGAAAACACGATTCTCTGTTTTAACTCTACTCCATTTCTTCATATAAAATTACCCTTCTATAGTTCTCAAGCGGAGGAAATAACCTCGTCATTTTCATTCAGAAGAAAATAAGGGCACGCAATCCTCTCATTTTGTACACCATGCACATAATCCTTCCTCGTACAAAAGTTTCAGTATATCCTTTTTTTTTTAAATAAAAAAATTTAGTCCCCTATTTATTATTGTCTCAGTATATATTTACTCTTCTCTTATACGCATTTCCATCGGATCTTACCTTTTTGCACTAATAGCATGACAGGTATATATTATATATACATCATTTTGTTTTTCCCCACTTATTTATCCATACTAATATATACCTTTTACTAAGGGTGTGCACATATTGGTTCAAACCGATCAATCCGAATCACAATTTGAGTTTTGGATTGGTTTCAAAGTTTTATTTTGAAACCTGCGATTTTAAAATTTGAACAAAAACCGGAAAGAACCGTTTGGTTTACGATTTTATGTACAAAATTCATACATTAAATCGGACCGGACTGTTTAGTAATAGTTACATGTTCTCTAATTTCCACATATATAGAAATATACAGTATTAGTCACAACTCACAACTTGTGAGATAATAGACTTAATTAACTTAATATTATGTTTAGTCATAACTCTCAATTTTGATTCTCTTCAACCTTTCTTCGTGATTTTTTTTTTACCCTTTTCTTATATTTTTCTTTTGAATTTCAAAAGCTCTCGTCCTGCATTTTTTCCCCATTCTTTTTTACGCTATTTTTTGGTTGTCTCTCAAAAGTTTTTCTGACGCTTTTTTACTTTTTTGAAATATTTTTTTGGGCTTTTGAAAGTTGAATAACTAATTAAATTCCTGTTTCTTAATTCAAAGTTATCGACCGTTAGTTTTTTGCATGTGTTGAATTGAAATTGATAGAAAAAGTTATGTTTTTTTGTTGTAAATTAATTTTTTTTTCGGCCAAAGAAAAAAAAACGAAAGGCTCAAGTTTTGGCCTAATATATATATAAAACTTTAAAGTGAGAGCGAAATCGTGAAACCGCAAAAACAAACCGTTGATTACGGATTGGTTTGGTCCAGTTTTTAAATGCAGAACTGTTTGATTTTGGATTCAAAATTGTGCGAACCATTCTAATAGTTTAGTTTACGGTTTAGACTAAAAACTGGACCACCCAAACCGTGCATACCCCTACCTTTTACAATCTTGGTTCCAAAAAAAATAATTAATTTAATTTATTAAATTATTAAAACATTTGTTGAAATAATTTTTTTTTTCAAAACGTCTCTCAGATATTTTTGTTACTCTCATGTAACATTTTCAATATGAACATGTTCATGTCAAGGGTTTTTTTTGGATGATGACGGTGGATTTTGGTGCACAACATTGTGAATAATGTATTATTATACGTACTCAAAGTGTTGTAAGTTAATCTGTATATAAGTAAATGTTTCTTGGTGAGTTTAGGATTTCGAATGTGATAGGTCAGAATTTAAATTGAACAATTTGATTGGTCAATGAGTTCACGTGATATCATAAAATTTAAATTAGCTAATTTGATTGGCCAATAGAAAACAATGACATCTGACATTTTAATTGGGGTTAAAGATGTCAATTCAAACCTTCATTTTTTGTTTTTTTTTCAAAATATTACATTTTTCTGAATTTTCATTTATTGCCGCCCTAACGCTCAAAACGACAACGTTTTGTGCTTGTGTCCCCCATTAATTTCGTCAAAGTTTTCAGTCCCAAATTCTCTTTATTATAAATATTCGCATAAAATTTCAAGTACTTTATTTTGATTGGAGTTACTTTTATTTATTTTGCGTTTAAATAGAACAAGGGTTTTGTGGATTTGAAAGAAGTGAGTGACGATGTCAGATTACATTCAAATTAATCGGTGATGCAACACAGTGATGAGAGACAAATTCTAACTAACAATTGATGCAATACCATGATGAGAGACAGTTTGGCTATTCTTTTGCAAAGAAATTGTTTGGTTTTTGCAATTAAACTAGACGTGTTTTACGTTGATAAAGATTGTTTTACGTCGCTTTGAAAAACCTATTGAAAAGAGAGGCTAAATTTGTTTGAAAATCAATATTTTTTATGGTTGTTCAAGTTGCCTAACCTTTAAAAAGCTCTGGTCTTACAAATTAAAGTAACTCTTGCAGAAAGTATTTGTTTATCTATTTTGAGGCTGCAGCTTTTGTTGAGAAAACCATTGAATAACCGAATCCTTTTACTCGATGATGATAGGTTTTTGCTTTACCGCGACTGCAATCAATTAAATCATATAAAGATTTATAAATTTGAATCTTGAGATGGCCTCTTATACATAAATATATAATTAATTCAAACAAAATTTGGCATTTCCTATGAACACAACACTAAAATATAATATTTTCAATTGAAGGATTAAAACTTCAAAGAGTTGTGGCATTTTTGGTTTAATATTCTGATGTGGTGGAATACTATTATGTTTTGGTTTTTAGTCAATCAAATTATTTTCTTTGTAGTTAGTTTAGTTATTTAGTTACTAACTATAGTTATAATTATTCTATAATGTTATTCGTTTTCTTGTATAAATAACAACTGATCGCACGTAACGCGACAAAAACGGAGCTAGTCAAAGAAAAATGCATAATAAGTTGTAAATCAATGATTGTATATTGGACAAAATTATGTTATTCTTTTGATCTATCAGATACTGAGATATAGTACTCATTAGTTAGATTGTGATATTATGGGGATAATTATTAACCGCAAGGTCTAAAAATTAGAACTGATACAAAAAAGCCCGCAATTTTACAATTTACACCGAGTCTCACTTATGCTGCAAAAGTCAAAACTGAAAAATCATTCTAAAACGTTTCCCAATTAATTTCCAGAAAAAAAGGGGAAAAAAAATATAAATCTCAATGCCACCGCCGAAGAAGCCTTCTCGGGGATTCTCCTTCTTCGGCCTTACCGCCGGCGCCGGAAGAGTCGGTGCCGGTGGAGGTCATGGCAAGACCGAAACTCCACCGCAGCTGAAACTAGAGACCGATAGAGAAGTGTATCGACCCGGTGATCTAGTTACCATCACAGTGGAAATTAAGAACCCGACCGAATCGTTTTCGCTCCTAGTCGAGAAATTGAGCTTCGAAATCAAAGGGATCGAGAAATTGGATACTAATTGGTTCAACATTCCAAAGCCTCCGCCGGAATCTAAGCAACGAAGAGGTATTGACGCTTTTGTTTTCCTTTTTAAGTTGTGATCATTTTGAATTTTCTGAGCAATTTGTTCCCCGCATTTCATTTTGTGCCTCCCGTAGTTCTTGCAGTGGTAGGGTGTAGCATTGGTGATATTCATTTTATTATAAATGTGGCAATGTTGGTTGAAACAATGAATACTAGTTGGAAAGGGAGAAAGAACTAAAGAAGCTTGATTTGGTTTAGGGGCAATTTTAAGTTTGAAGGTAGTGGGACGATTTAGGTATCCTGGAAGGGGCAGAATTTGTTAGGTTAAACTTGAAAAGAATACCTGATTAAACTAGGACATAGTCTCTGATTCTTTAATAATCATTTGTTTCAAGTGGAAACAAAGCCGAAAGATTGGGAGTACTGACTTTCCTTGTCTGAAAGAAAGGAAATCAGTTATCATGCATGAAGCTAAGCATTTGTTTTAATTTTCGTTTGCAGTTAAGCATTTGGAATTTTGCTCTCTAGGCTCAACTTGCATAAGTTTCTGGATTAATGTTGCATCTTAAATTGAATCATCCAACTTAGCAATGTCGTTTCTGTCTCCTTGTGCATTTGCATTTTATTTGATGAATGTTGAAGATGTCCCCTTGTTATTCTTTGACTCAAAACTCATGTATATGCTGCGCTTAGTTGTGCGACTCATGGTTTTGGCTTTGAGCTCCTGTGGCCTTAATTTTAAAAGCTTGCCTTTTAATCTTAAGTGATTCTAATTTACACTTGTGTGAGTGATACTTTTTTTCTTTTTTGCTGCCCAGGGGAATATGTATTCATGGACTGGTCCACACCCACAATTGTTTCAAATCAAATCATTGCACCGGGAGTTACTAAGAGATGTAAGGCTTATATTTTTCTGTAACTTATGTATCTATGAGTATAAAAAGTGTAGAAAATGTCTTCACATCCTCAGATTTTTTAAATTTACTTGTTCTTCTGCTGATTGCACTATTTGGTTGTGATTTGAACGATCGAATAAATTCATCATGAAAGAAGTAAAGTATGGCAGGAAGTTGCATTGCCAACCAGTACAGAAGATTATGATTGTGGTTTACAATAGGATACTCTTAGTTGATGATGACATAAACAAGAGATGATACTGTCTACATTGCAGTATTCACTAGTGTAATTGATTTCTGCTGTTCTCCCTTTTATTGTAGAATTTGGTGGTTTAAAACTGTTATCCTAAATTGGATCTGACTGAAAGCTAATGTGAAACAAGGTTTATCTAGCGCTTCTGTTGGGTACATGGGACTGGGAATAGATCATTGCTCCCACAGCAAGTATCCTTTGGTGTTCTATATTAAGATTTTTGAAGTGGGCTTCTGTCTTTTCATAGATTTTATTATCATTGCAAGATAACAGGAGGTTTTTAATTCACATGCATTTTTTGTTTTGGAAAAGTATCCTAAAATATCTGTCTGGGTGTGAAATCCTGGATTATGAGTCCTTTCTTTGTATTCATAGTATGGTCAGGAAAAACAACTTGATTCTATTCTTCTCATATCATGTCTTATGACTTCAATACATTCTAATGTCTTGCGGCTTATATCTTTAGTCATCAGTTTTCTTTGGTGAAGTTCTCTAATCTTGTGAATACTTTTCCTAATGTCACAATTAACCACTACGAAGTTGTTCTGAAAACATTATATTAAACTTGCACATGTATAATCCATATATTGAAATTATTATGATCCTTTCATATTGCTCTTTTTTGAAGTGCATTCATGCTCCAATAACCTGTCTTTTCTTTTCAACCTTTATCTATTATTGATCTCATTGCTTTGTGCAGCCTTGGTTAGTCTCATTGGGAAGTTTAACTATCATGTTAGCTTTCTTCAGTATTTTATGCATGTCTAATTTCTTTGGTATCTATTGCATGTATCTATTAAGTCAACAGTTTTAATTGTTACTCCACTCGCAGATGTTGTACGTACACTTCTTCCAAGCATTATACCGCCGTCCTATAGAGGGGCTACTATCCGGTACATGTACTATGCAAGAAGCACAATATCTGGGAAATACTTGATATTGAGGAATGGACATTCTCATCGCGAGTTAGTAGAAGACCTCCCTGATCTGGTTTGTATCTTCACAGAGTTGATGATCTGTAGCTTTCTTTGTCCTCCTACTTCTAGTTGAACTTTTGTGCAGTTATATAGAGCAATATCTATTAGTTTTACGGCAGCGTTGCTATACAGAGTATTTAATTCAGTTAGTGATGCGCCATACTCTTGTTAAGCTGAAAATTTGTATCTCAAGGTTTAGAAATGTACAAACTATAATTAGAAGAAGAAAACTGTTTACTGGAATTGATTGTTGAAAGTAACTAAACTGTCTCCACACTCCTGAAACTCTTATGTATTACATCCAAGGCAACATATCGCTCTACCTTCCCCTGAGAAAACAATGTTGCTGGAGATTTATGCATCTACACTCTCTCCCATAGAGAAGTGTATTGCTATAGGCTTAAAACTACACTGAACTTTGACTAGATATCATTTTATTTTTTTCCTGAAATAAATTTCCTAATGAGACTGCGATACTAAATGCTAAGATATTATGAATTAGATATTTAGAAAGATACTTACTTTTAACCAAAAAAAGGGGAAGAAGTAGCATACTTACAAACAGAAACTGGAGTTGAGATAGTTTTGAAGTTTGTTAGTAGCCCCCACCACTAATAGTAAAAACTTGCTAAAGGTAAGCAAAATTGAACTGAATTGTGTGTCTAGTAATAATTTTATTCAGTTGTCCCAGCTGCAGATTTTCTTCATTTATCCAAATGGATGTAGGAAACTTGTATGTGTCTTTCTTGTCTGCAGCATTTAGCTTGCCCTGCTGAATATCTTTCTTGATTTTTCCATATCTTCTTATTAGACTTGGCATCGTTATTTCTGGATATGCGTATATATAATCCTGGAGAAGTGACGTTATTGCGTCAGCAAAGCATGAGCGCTGCTGTATCTAAGTCCTTATTACTTGTCTTCTTCCTGGATTGAATAAAAGTCTCATTGTGGTTTTTGAGTTTTTGTTTTTGTTTTAATAAGTAAATTGTCTCCAGCTGCTTTCTACTTTAAATAATGGAAAGAAAAAATGGCAATTATGTTTTTGTATTTTTTGTATTCGAACACCTTTTCCGTGCTTCATTTTGTTTTATTTTGAATCGAAGCTTTTCTCCTCTCAGTTTCTTCTTATCAGTTTTCTTCATATCTGAAGTTACTAAATTTTCATTTTTTTGTCTTCAAGAAGTGTGGGAATTGGATTATCACTATTGACATGTTGTTAGTCATAATTTTTAAAGTAAGTTCTGATGTCAAGATATATTTGTATGAAAGGATTTGTTTTACAGTAATCAGGAATGCATGTGGAAAGTAAAAGGTAAAACGTTGAAAAGATAGTCTTGAAACCGTTAATACTCAGCCCAGTCTATCCTATCATACCTTAGTGGAAAATTATCTGTCCTGAATATGCCCTGTTAGGGTCCTAATTAGAGAGCCGTTTATTTTACGATATTTTTGAACTTCACGTAAAAATTTACATGGGCCTCCTGTAATCATTTTTGTGATAATCCTTTAAGAAATATAAACAGCCATAACGAAGAAAGAATTTTTCTTTTTCTTTCTCCCTCTCTGTATCTTTGATAGCACCCGTTGAAGTGTGAAACCAGTACCTCATGGCTACAATCCTCCGTCCAACTGGAAGAAAGCTTAACATACATACTGCAATCAAGAACGGGCATCCTGGTTTAGGGGAGCTGTAGGAAAGTTTGTGGCTATTAAGCTAAATGCGTGATGCAGCTTTACCTTATACGACGTCAGTCGCAAAGACAATCAATTTCTCTAGTTTGTATCGGTAATTTCTATCGGCAATGAGCGCCTATGCTATTGCATTGCCTTCAGAGTTGAAATCATCAGATATTTTGTTTTAACTAGGTAGATAATTAATGTAATTGTAAGATCTAGAAGGTTTGATGTTTAGTAACCTGCTATCTGTTTAATAAATGGCAGCAGGATAATGATGGGTTAAAAAAATCTCGAGGCCTTAAAATCTGCCAACCTTTTTGTATCTGTTTTTGTTTTGTCTTCTTTTTTTTTTCTTGTTTACTTGTGATGATATGCATGTTTAGTAGCTATTTTTTCAAATGGCTTTTCATTATTATTATTTTATAATTAGTTCTGTTATCTCGGTTTTTGAAGAATCTGTGCTTGCAGGAAGTCCGAATACCATTGCAGATATGGGTAACTCAGAAAACCAATGGATTAATAAGTGAAGAAAGTGAAACTGATGGTAAACCTTTTTATTTCTCATTTAGCTTTCAATCCATTGTTAATCTTATTTCTTTTGGTATATGCGTGCTTACTTTCGATTGTATATTTTCTTCTGGAGTTTAATCAACTACCTTGCACTTACCATTGATAGCTGTTTATGCAGTTGATTGCTTCCGATGTTATTATTTTTAAGCTTTTTCCTATGCTACAGATATTTAGTCAATATAAGTCCCCACTCTATAAACAGATCGCTTCCATGTTTTCTTATACTGCAAGTTCTTGTGGAATTCATCAAAGTTTTGGCCCGTCAAGAAAGAGGCCTCGGAAAAAGCAGGAATAGTGTCCTATTTTTAAAACTTAATGCTACAGAAAACCGCCTATGTATAAGTTAGACATTGAGCAATCAGAAAAGATCTGCTTGATATTGAAGTCAAATGCTGTCAAAGCTTTCAAAATTTGACGGTATTATTTGACGTTGAAAGCATTGACACTTTCATAGTCTCATTAGCCTTCAACATGAAGCAAAACTTTCTTTGACTACCCAAATGGTGAGTTTCTTGATATTACAGTATATTATTTTTTCTATAGTATTAAACGAATGGTTCACAGTGCTACCTTTTAATGGGCATGTCTGAACTGCAGCCTGATTTTAAGGATCTTAGCTGTTTAGCAATCTATGGTGTGCACGAGTTGTTGTTAATTTTTATATCTCAAGTAGCATAGTTAATAGTTGCTGAAAAGGCTTTGCTTGTGAGGACATTGAATTATGCATCGTAATGGCAATTGCTTATGTCCAATGCATGTCTCCATTTACTTTCACTACATCAAGAGAAAAAAAAAAAACTCTTTTCAATCAGCAAATTCCACTTGGAAGTTTCAATGCAGTAAGAGGAATAGCAGATTGGGCTTTCTCCACCTGTCATGTTTGGACTTAACACATTGAAATTTCCTATTCAATTTTTTTTCCTTCCATTTGGCTTTCATCTCAAAATGGAGTTAGGTAGAGAGGGATTTACGTTGTTGGCTCCAAATTTCTCGAAATTTATTTCACCAAATTTTGAATTCACGAAGCTTGTGTTTCAAATGATTACTGCAATATTTGTTGAAATTCTTTCTAATCGTTGCTCCAAAGATACTACCTAATGTAGTGGAGAAGTCTTTGTTCAATTTTTTTGTTTGCTAATTGTTTCAGAAAAGCGTAATATGTGCAAGTACGATAACAAGATACATCCTTTTAAACTTTTTCAGGCATTGTTCCTGCAACCTCGGTTTGGTTGGATGTGTACTGGAAAGAGTTGGAGGGAGATTCTGAATGGGTAAAGCTTCTTTTGTGCTATTTGTGCAATCCTTTTCCTATTGATCTTTCTTATCCTCAAGTTGGAAGAGTTTTAATGTTTTATAGACTAGAAAAATAAGTCGTATCTTTTTGTTCATAGACTAAGGCCAATGAAAGTTTTGATGGAGTTGAGGAAGGTTATGAAAGCTCAAAAGATGATATGCTATCTGTTTCTTCCTATAACCCTGGGAAAGAAGACATACATCGAGCTTTTGGGAGTTCATTATCTTTGCAGTCATCTTTGGCAAGGTCTTCTAGTAAGGACTTATCATTTTTTGAAGCCCGTGCTAGCATATCCTCAAATCCAGCTTTGCCAGGTTTAGTGTTGCCTCGTCTAGCTGTTGCTGATCCTCTGAGTGAATCTTATGATGGTAAACAATATCCTTCCCTTATTTGGTTATTCTTCTTAGTTTCTATTAGCTCTCAATTTCCTTTGTACGTGACAACTTTGAATCTACTTGTTTTAACCAGGGTTCCCGTTGTTTTCTTCAAGTATAGGGGTCCTTAATTGTGATTGTTTAATTCTGTTTGCAGGACCTTTGTCATCTGGTAAATCTGAAGATGCTGCATCAAGAATTCAGCAGCTAACACATTCAAGATCCCTTTCAATAGATGATGAGACACGGATGCCATCTGTCCCTGGAACTGTTGAATCTGGGGCATGTAAATCCTTGTGCTTAGAACCCTTTTATTGAGGGCCGAAAAGTCCTGAAAAATGTTCAACTAGAGGTGCATTTTATGTATCCTTCAAATTAACGGTTATCTTTTTCCTGCAGCAGAAGGGTTTGTTCGAGGAAGATCTTACAATATCAGATTGGATGACCAGGTTCTGCTGAGATTTTCTCCGAAGAACTCTGACTCGACCTATTACTTTAGTGATATGGTATAGTGGTATATTTATTGTCCTTGCCTTTTTGTATTTTAATTTTGAGTTTACTGACTTCATTTCCTGGTTCAGATAGGTGGAACGCTAACTTTCTTTCATGAGGAAGGAACCAGAAGATGCCTTGAGGTATATGTGCATTTCAGATTCAGAGTATTATCATAGTATGAGCATTACAATGATCTTTCTGTTTGTTGTCAACATGATTTTGACCAATCATTTTTCAGCTTTCGGTCTCACTGGAGATGACGGAAACAATAAGCAGGCGTTTTGTCCACCCTTCTAGGAAACTTTCTCCAACTATTACAAAGGTCTAATTCCTGATCACCATTAAATGGATATACTGCAAATATTTGTGATACTTGGGTTTTCTATATATGTGCTTGTATGATGTCATGTATACCAACTTGTAGATGATTTAAAGAGCAAGAAAGATATATGCAATTACAGAGGTTTACTGTAAACATATTCTGGTTGGCATATTTGAAGTAAAAATCCTTCCAGAAAGAGCACCAGGGGATCAGTAATCAAGGTTTTGATAAGATATCCTAAGATTTAATAAGATCCAATGTAGAAAGCATCATGCCAACTACCTTAAATTACTGAGTTACTCTGAATCAAGTCTTAGAACTGAAAGTTTTTTCATTAGTAATTTTTTATTAGAGTAAAATGTTCAGTTAAATTGTTGCATTTCAGTAAATTACTGCTGTAAGTTTTCTGTTTTGAATCTTTGTCTTCAATGTTTCACGAGGCAAGTAATATTCAACTATTGGATCTGGGTGGGGGATTCAATCTTTAGAAAACTAAGATATGAATTTTACTCTTAATTGGTTTTAGTCTTCTAGCCAATAAATAATGTATCTCTCTAAGAGGTGATTACAGATTTGACTTCAATAACAAATCGCGCATCATAGTTTTTTGTAGTAATTTAATGAGAAATACTAGTTTGATGTTTTCCTCTTTGGTATGGATTTGGGTTTGACAAAAAAGAAAGAAAAATTTCCTACAGTGTCTCTTTCACCCTGTAATTGTGTGATTCTGAGAATGTTTCAAGATTCACTCTTGTTTTAACTTCTTAACCCTGTCAAGCAAAACATGTTTCATTATAACATGGGTAGCGGAACTATGATGTCGGACTTTTGAGTCTCATCAACTTCATTGTGTTTTTGGCCGTTATCGTGTCTTTAAGTGATTAGTCTGGGTTCGGTATCTGCTGATGAGGATGAAACAGGAAGCAATGTATCACTTATTATGAGATTGTTGATGTTGTGGCCACAGAATTGTAATGCAATTGTTCTTATTCAGCATTTAAAGAGTATACTTATTCATCTGCCTACCGTACAGGTTCATAGTGATCATCACGAAGTTGTTGCAGATTTGTTGCAGACCAGCTTTTTGTTTTCCGTTCCTATGGATGGGCCTATGTCTTTTTCTACTCGCTATGTTTCAGTGCAGTGGGCTTTGAGATTCGAATTTCTCACCACGCCGAAGAATGTAGACTGGACCAGGTATAATTGTATATAATGCTATGGGGATATCTGATATGTTGGTTGAATCTATGTTACTTGGGTCCGGATTAGTGCATTGTCACGTTGTATGATTTAAGTACTCAAAACTCATTTTGGTTATAAAAAATCTGAACTATTTTGCATGTCTTTCTTGTGACCTAAACATTTAAATTTACCTGGGCGATCATACAACAACAACAACAATAACAACAACAACAACAAACCCAGTATATTCCCAACTCGGTTGGGGTCCTGGGGGGTCATGATGTACGCAGCCTTACCTGGGCGATCATACATCAATCAAATTAAAACCTAGGTGATCTATATTGTCAAGTTATTTTCTGTTTGCTCTTTGTTTTGGACTGCTTTGTGCGTTAGTCTTCTGGGGTTTTTAACTTGAGGTTATTACTGTAACGTGTACCGCACTTCTAAGAAAAGTTGGAGAACTTTTTCTTGAAGATATCTGATAATGCAACATCAGAAGATTCATTATAATGTTCTCACATCAGGAGTTTTATGATTATCTATTTCACTGTTTTGGTCTCAGTGTAAGCCGTTGGCCATGCTTTCCTTCATATGGAAGTTTTGTTCTATGCGCTTCATGACATGGTGTAATTTTTTGGCCACTTTGTCTTGATATGTGCTTCGTTTTTGCATCAGATTTGAGCATCCTCTTCTAATTGAAGGACGAGATAAATGTGAGTGGCTCCTCCCAATAACGGTCCACGCACCTCCCCTTGGTGCTGCTGCTCAGATCCGGAATGGGAAGCCATTTTCTCTGGAACCACTATGGGTTCACACGTGAAGGTAAATATAGCTCAGGGGCAGTGAAGGACCCAGCCTCCAACTCCAGCAGGAGCTAATCTGTAGCCTGGACTGTTGATTCTTGATTGTACGGAAGGAACAATAAATATATTAAATGAGATTCAAAAGTAATTGCAAAATGTGAATTGTATTAGCGAACTTGTTTTGCCGCTTCCATAGGTGTTGTGAAGCTACCCGCATTCGACCATTTCCTCCTGTATTCCTAGACTTTTTCCCTTTTTCCTTGGAACAACTTTTTCTGGAACTGGAAATCCTGCGTTACATTTCTCCAAACTTCCATTACATCTCGGTTCAGATCGTTCCAGCTTTTGTCATTCTTTGTATCCCCTGGAGTCTTTATACAGAGACTAGAGACAGAGATATGGCGTCGTTATCGGGTCCTTATTCAACCAATGCACAAACTTTTCCAAGAAACCACTTGCAATGCCACGATGGAAGCTAAAGCCTAGTGGAGAAATTCTCCAGTTTTTTTAGTATCATGACAATGCCTAAATAGATGGTCTCCATTCTCTTCTACTCGACATCTAGGGCACTCCGCAGAAATTTGGACTCCCCTTTTCCTCAGCTCTTGGAGTCAGTTGTGCACCTTGTATTGCTTTCCACTCTAATATCTAGATTTTAGGTTTTCGACAATCGTTTTCCAGGCCTTTTTGTATAATCCCTCCGGTCCTTATTATAAGCCATTTTGATTTTTTCTAGTTTTCACTTAGTATACATTTTTAATTGACAGTTTTTTTGTTAATTAAAAATATGTATTAGGTTAAACCTATGACAAATTAAAATGCCTTATATTAAAGATCGGACGGAGTATATTACAGCTTAACGTTCATCATGATAATGTAATACCTCAAAGATGAACAACCGTAATCGGACATATCCTTACTAGATTAGCCAAAAAGTGGAGAAATGATTAATTTCTTTAGTGACATTAGATCTTGAATCGTCTATAAGCAGAGTAAGAATGTAGTATTTAATTATCTTTAGTTGGAGAAGTTAATAAAAGGAGCCTTATTCACGAAAGTGTGCTTAAGCTTCCATGAATCCATGGGTTCTTTCTTCCCCCCAAGTAGTAAAATAAATCCAGAACCTCCTTCTTGGAGAAGTTAAGAGCATAATTTAACACTACAAATCCATTGCCTACAAGCAAACCCTTTATTAGTGGGAAGAACTCATTTAATTAAATGTCTACTAATATATCACAACCATGTTGACAACAACTGGGAGATCAAATTCATTTCCGCCTTCTTAGTACACTCAAACCTCCAGTGCTTGCGCAAGAATAATTCTGAAATATCATTATCGGTTTTTTTTTTCCTGAAAAAAATAAAAAGTAATTCGAAGTGTTGAATTACCGACAAGAGCCATTGATTTGTTTTCTTCACTTTGTCTAGCCAGTTAATATGTATAGGTAATGAATTTGTATTGTTGAAAGTTTTCAATTCACCACCACTTCATTTGTGGTAGAAAATTCCAAGCCTTTTAAGTAGTACTAGTCTTTTACGTGTCGCGCGTTGCGCGATCATTGTATTGATTAATTCTTTTACATTTTTTATTTTACACATTCCGGAACACCATAAATATTTATGAGAAAAGCAAAAGAAATAATTTTTATTTATTTTATTTTGAGAAAAAATTATAATAATGTCTAAAGTTTTCTTAAAAAATGTTACTATAAATTATGTAATTTGAGTAATCACTTCATTAAAACTCTTGATTATTGCGCTGTGAAATAAAAACTATGAGTCTCAAAAGCTTACCCGCCAATGATTACTTCATTATTGTTTACATTGTCAAATTTAGCACAACCATGAATGTTACAAAAGCTTACAGAAGACGATGAGCAGCCATGTCATACATGCAGTAGGTTATTTTTTCAAAAATGAAACATAAAGGAAGGCATCAGAACTTGAAGAAAAGGCGAGAAGCTAACAATATAAGCAAAGGGCATGACCAAGTGTATTTGATGCATATTAGATTCAAAGCAGCTATTTTACAAGAAGAAAAGTTAAAATTGAGAAAATGATCTTTCATGATACAACAAGATTTAAATGCAGGTCCATTGTGTAAAACCTCAGACAAATAAAGAGCCAATATTAATTTAAATTATTAAATTACCAAGCATTATTACACTAAAATAACATATAATGGAATCTTATGCTTAAATTGGACAAAGAATTACCTAACTTACGTCCTTTCGCCTACTCGTTCTTCTTCAACAGCATCATCGACGCCGCTCCACAACTTTTTTCTTCGACAGAGGAGAGAAAAGAATTTGATCGGGTTTTGGGTATAGATTTGATCGGTTTCAGCCAGCGACAGCTATGAGCACCGCTCCACCACTTTATTCGACTGGGGGAGGTAGAAAATTGACGGACAGAGGCTGCAATTGTTGACTGGTTGGCTTTTGTTACAAGAGGAGCTTAAAACGCCAGACAGGGGAGGAAATCAATGTCGGTAATGGAAGATGCAAAAAAGGACGTCATGGATTTCTACTTTCTAGCTCCATCGCACTATTGCTGACCAGTTAAGAGTAAAGAACATCAATGATCCCATATTGCAGTACACGAGGACAAATAAATTAGAACTATGCAATGATGAAAAAAATTATTCATGGAAGTTATGATCTTTCTTGATTAATGATGATTTACCTAGGGTTTCAATAGTAGGAGGAGGAGGGGAAAGTGCATTAACGGAGGGAGTTGTTAACAAGAAGGCACGCAAAATCTTGGTGGCACCACTTGCGACGAGACGGTACGCAGGATCGACAATCTTGGACAACCACTACCGGCTTCCGGTCTGGGATACGCTAAAACAACAGACATGGGGAAAAAATTACCTTAATGAAGCCGAGAGTAATTGATGCCCAAGGAAGCTGGGAAGTTGAAGAAGAAAAGCTGCTTCATATTCTAATTGTGATGTGTGCTGTGGATTTTATAGACGTGGTTGACGATAGAGATTTTCTATTCTTAAAAGGATTCTGGAATCATTGATGCAAACAAACGAAAATTTCCTAGTCCTTATACAATACAAATCCAAATTTACATCTTAATAAAAATCTAAAATTAATTGAAAATTTCCTAATCTTAATACACATGCGAATTTGTCGTCACATCCGTCTGCACCGACTTTACTGTCACACCGCCTGCTCCACCATTACCACCTCCTTGTTCTTGTCAACACCGCTTTCACAGCCATGACATCCTCCCCCACCTCCATTAAGGAAGGGTTGAATGGTTGATTCAATAGGCGGCGGTGGTTTGAAAAGGAGCAGTCGGGAGTAGAAGAGCTATCCGTTTTACAGGGTTTTAGTCCGACGTTCATATTTATAGTTTGGGGAAAAAGGATCAAAATTACGTTGTTTTTTTTTTGGCCTGGGAATTTTTCCCCAAAAACATGTGGTATTTTTAACCGAGGGAACATAAAATTTTGGAAACAAAATTTATGAAATTCCGTTTTTAACCCTAATAAGTCACTGGCGTCATATCTACCTCATCCGACGGACAAAATCGATTTGACGGTGGTCCTTGAATATTTTTTGGACATTATTTCTTGCCTACTGTGCCTTTTATTTAAGTATAAGGATTAACAGATAACACACATTTACAGTCTTTGAATCAATTTTATCATCAAGGCTACCTGTTTATATACACATTTTGTATATGTACATATACTGAGATGAGACAGTTGCAAGAATTGGACTTTCGTTCAGTTACAAACCAAATTAACTAAGCAGTTCAGCACAGATTTTTTTTCCCCTATTTATAAAACTCCATAACCCACAAATTACAAACAAAACATTCTAATCTTATGCCCTGAAATCCAGCTTCCAAAGCCAATGCAAGAAACTCTTCTTCATTTCTCTCTTTTCCTCCTGGATTTTGAGCCAACATTATCATATCCAATTGGCAAGTTGATTGTGTACCGGAACTAGTATCAGGACTATTCATAGGAAGAATTGCATCCATAACAATCACTTTTCCATTTTTTGGCAACGCTTTGTGACAATTCCTTAACAATTTTAAGCAATGATCATCGCTCCAATCGTGAAGTATCCACTGCAAACGTAAAACAGATAAAAAAAAAAAAAAAACTGTGAGCAATTGTTATTTTAATTAGAAGGTTCGATTTTGCTCCCAAGACTGAAGTAGTTTCAATTCTGTCTCTCCAGCGTTGATATAGCTGAGGAGGGAAAATAAAAAAAAGTGATTCGACTATTTTTGGTCTACCACGTGCGAAGCACAACCGGTTATCAAAATTTTCTCAAGTTAATTTGGAGCGTTAATTACTTAATGGGACTAATTAAGATCAAATTATCAATGTTCGAGACAAGTTAAAATGTTTTGGAAAATTTGTGGACAAATAAAATAGAACCATATGCATGGAGTGAAAGTTAGAGGACATTTGGGTAAAACCATTATGAATTGAAAGAACTGTCTTCGATCAATGATATTATGAATCTAAATATTACCTTCATGAAAATAGCATCCCCATCAGGAACTCTTTCAATCATGTCTCCCGCAATATGTGCTACTCCTGCATATACATATATTATTACATGATTAGGAATATATATATATATATATATATATATATAGCTTGAACATGACTTTTATTTTTAACGATAACGAGAGTCATTAAATAACTTACGTACACTGTAAGAAATACTTATTAAATAGGATAAGTAAATTACTAGATTATTCTCAACAAATTTCATTAAACTAAATAAAGAATACTAATACCATCTCTTTTGAGGATAATTTCGGAAAATTTGAGCAAATAAGCTTTGGAATATAAAAATGGCAATTGTTTTAAAATTTCTTTATTTTGCTAAAAATTATACTTGTTTCGTAATGGAAGGAGTATTTGTTAAGTTTAAACAACCTAATGTGTATGACTTTTGTTCCGATAGAGAGAGTTTCGCTGTATTCATTTTTTCATTCAATAATGCTGTGAGAGCAAAATCGAACCTTCTAATTAAAATAACAATTGCTCACAGTTTTTTTTTTTTTATTTTTTTTTTATCTGTTTTACGTTTGCAGTGGATACTTCACGATTGGAGCGATGATCATTGCTTAAAATTGTTTAGGAATTGTCACAAAGCGTTGCCAAAAAATGGAAAAGTGATTGTTATGGATGCAATTCTTCCTATGAATAGTCCTGATACTAGTTCCGGTACACAATCAACTTGCCAATTGGATATGATAATGTTGGCTCAAAATCCAGGAGGAAAAGAGAGAAATGAAGAAGAGTTTCTTGCATTGGCTTTGGAAGCTGGATTTCAGATTGGGGTATTTGGCCTGGAATTGATGTACCAGTATAGGGTGGAGCATGGTACATATTCACATTTTTTCATTCAAAATGTTGAGTAAAGAGAAGTAAATAAATTGATGTACCAGTATAGGGTGGAGCATGTTGTATAACATGCGGCAAATCGAAATTAATACCCCTCAGATTGGGGTATTTGGCCCTAATAATCTCGAGAGTAACTCCAAGACCTCCACCCGCATCTACCAAAGTTTTGATATTCTCGAAACCTTTGTAGCTCTCAAGAAGTTTGTCCATCACAATTGTAGTGTGACTTACCATTGCCTTGTTGAAAACCTCATTGAACCGGGAATCTCTTACCGGATAGTCGAATGAATATGTACCATGCGCCTTGTCAAATGCAACTCCTCCTTCAACCACGGCCTTTTCCAGCTCGTACCTATTTTAGTTTGTAGGATAAAACAAAAAGCAAAAAATGGACTTAAAAGCATTTTGTGTTTGTCAAAAGAAACAAAAAAAATAATTATCCCGTTTGTTGTTTAAAAAAAAAAGTATAGTAAAAAATACGATCATTTTCTGACGGAAAGAGTAGTTAATAATCTACCAGCTTTCAGTGAAAACTTTGTCTTGAATCAAATCCAAGAAAGGGCCCAAGGAAACTCCATGTTTGTTCCTTACAAAGAACTCCCCCACCGGTGCCAACCCATACATTCTTTGGCTACCGCCACTGTCACCACCACCGTCAATGGAGGAACACGTCAACACGGAGTGGCTAGCTAGGAGGCGCATCCTCCGGTCAAGCATCCCCGCGATAATATCATCATCAGATTTATCACCGTTGGTAATTAAATGATTAGATTCATCGCGGTTACTTTTATGCGTAGTAGGAGAAGATTTAGACAAGCGAGAAGCAATTTGGGATGGCGAGAGTTGCGCTTTGGGACCGGCTCCAGCTATGATATCAAACAAGCCGAGCCGGGTGGCGAACATCAACACCATGGGAAGCGATATGGAGGTCACCAGCTGCATGGCATACGAGAAATGCCGCTGGCTTTCTTCTTCTTCCTTTTCTCCATTTTGCAATTTGTGATTGTTGTCGGCAGTTTTTGAAAAGAGTTCCATAGCACTACGTACTATTTCTTCTACTCGGAAAAAGAAAGAAGAGGAGATTTGGCATTATTTCTGTTGCTCGTCCTTTTATTATTGCGTTTTCAATTCAACAGTGATAATAGGACGTACAAATGGATATGATATTACAGGTTTAGGACGATTCCTTAAAACGCATATGATAGGGCAGGTTTAGGATAGGATCCTAGAATGGGTGGAGCAACGATTGAAGGACAAGTTACGTCGGGACATTATCATTATTTCTGTTGCTTGTCCTTTTTTTTTTAATTTATTATTAATATTATTTGTTTTGGGTTTGCATAAGCTCTGTAGTTTTTATACAAGTACTAGCTTGTTGTGAACCGCACGAGGTCCGGTGTAGGTGTGAAGAGGCCCGGATTATTAGTTTTTGGCATCGAAATAAATAGTGAAAAATGGATGGAATTTTATTTCATCACATAGTATATAACTTATTTGAGTAATAATTATACAAAGGATTTGAAATGTAACATTAATATGTAGTATAGTATGACGAAAAGGACAAATACAAAAAAAAACAAAAAAAAATAAAATGTGTAGAAATATTGTACTGGTAAACAATGGTGAAGAATTCATGCAACTAATGGTAAGGAATTGATGCAATAGAAATATCAAATCAAATAGATCCTGTTTTGAGCTTCTTGGTAATATCGGCAATATGTACCCGATACAAAATTTTCCCATATTAAGATTAAGCTCAATGATAACTACCCTTCTGCAAATGAACCATTCTATTATGTACATCATTTGGTAATAGAAGATCTACTCCTAGTCCATTAATAAGTCAGGGGAACAGGATAACAAGCTTAGCTATGTTAATTCATGCCTTAAATCTACCCCATTGCCTCCGTGCCTCATCTGCCACTTGGCTATGAACAACAAATCATGGATGGCAATAATCAAATATGTTCTCAACTTTTAACCCCAATCTGATTTTTGGTTTCATTATTACAAAAATCTCCGCAACGTTCTACTTTATTTTCTCTACGGCACCAGTACTACAGCTATCATTCACAATAGCAATCTCGGGCGTTTGGGTTGCTGTGCCCAAGGGCTTTTGTTCAGTGTTGCTACATAGCTTTTCAACACCTTCAGTCTGATTCTCTACTTCCGACTCTATTGATGACTCTATAGTGGTTAGATTCCCCCAGGGTTACTCAGCAGTCCCATTTGCAGCTAGTTCATTCTAATTTCTGATCTATAAAATAAAGTATTATTGCAACTTGTGGAACAGAGAAAAGTTTTTATCAAGTATATTGACATGAGGTAAAATTCTGCTTACCAAGTTTCAAAATCCAGGTAGAATGTAAAATGCTGCTTAGACATTCATCTAAGCTAGTGGGAAGACTTTCACATAATTGTAAACCTTGTTTTCAGAGGCAATTTGCATAATAGAAACCTGAAAAATTGGAAGGAAACAATAAGTAATGAGACAAAGTTTAAACACAAAACTGGCTGGTTCAATCTGCAAAATTCCTGATTTGTCTGGCAAACTCTAAGCAGCTACTGATTGAACACTATTTCATTTAGAGAAGTACAGTAACACACAGAAGACACATAATAAGGACTGTAAAATACCATACACTGACACAATCAAAGTAACTGATAATTTTTTCCTTTGCTTTAATCATTATCAATTGCATGGAACAGAGATAATCGATACAACAAACAAATCATAGATAAGGAGAAATAATCGGCAAGATTCTATTAAGAAATTTCGGAATATATCCATCTGGAGAATAGATCCAAAGATAAGACAGTTTTACATTAAAGATAAATTGGCCATCACCATCTATTATTAAAGCATACTCATAGTTAATCATATACTGGACAAACACACGATTTTTTTTAAAAAAGCAGCATTGCTGCTAAGTCCTTTTCCTGAAGTTGCATAAATTTTCTAGGCTTTTATGGTTAAAATATTGAATAAATTTGCTAGCATTTTACGGTTGGCACACTTTCAGCTAGCAAACAACATTATGAGTGAACCCGAAGGTTTTATATTCCCCAATAATCCTTAGGCAAGACTTTTTGAAAAATGATTTCTTCATATTAAGCTTTGACGCAATGATCTCTTGTTCCCTTCATGATTCTTCATAGAATAGTCAAAAAATATTGTTAACTTGGGCTATCATAAACTTGAGCCGATCATAAAAAAAAAAACTAATTTTAGTTCCAAAGTCCTCATCAAAGTCTATTTAGGCATATAAACAAACACGTGGTATGCAAACCAAACATAGGTATTTTTTTTTTCGATTAACTCCGCCTCATAAACAGGAGTGTTTTCACTCTTATTTCAGAATTCACCATAAAAAAAGTTGTACAACAAGGTCCAAAAAATTACCACAGCACAGATTTAGCAACTAAAGCTCCGTATCAGAAACTAAGCAACATAAAAATTGCAGATAATTCAATTCCAAATACGTGTGATTACTTAATAACCAAAAAAGTTCATGATGTAATCAATCAAATTCAGCCACCGTCGGATTACATATGATTCCTCACATTTTGGCATTAATTTTAGTTGTCCATATCATTTACATTAAGTTCTTTTTTTGTTTCAAGAAGTCCTGCCTAAGGATTATTGAAAAGGTAAACCTTAGTGTTCAATCTTCATGTTGTTTGCACAACCTGATAAGCTAGTACTTCAATAAATGAATAACATTTCTCTTGAACATCAAGAGCTTGGTGGTACAGATGAATCTCATCATAGCATTATAACACGTATGTGCAACATAACCCGTTAATGACATAAAATAAGACATCTTATACACACGAAATTAGTCAACCTAATACAACATATAATCAGTTTTAATTTATGTTTTTTTTACAGTACACTAAACATACAAGTGTAGCACCGGCGGTTTTAAATGAATATCTTCACATCCATCAAAATTGTGCAAAGAATCAATTTACTTCAGTTAAATCAAGGGGAAAGAAATAGAATAACAAAAAGGAAAGACTAACCCTTTGATTTTCTTCCAAGAACAAAAGTGGCATTCGTTGCCTTCTTCTTCAATTAAAAAAATAGAGGTTGAATCCCAGTTTTTTCTCCCCCCACCAAAAGTCACTTCGTTATTGCCAACCTGCTTGCTTCTCCTTCAGTCGGAAAACTTCCTAGAGCTGCCAGTTTCACAGGCAAAAGCACAGCTCCGATGATATTCTTGAACGCTGTCCGATTGAAGAACAACATATTGGGGGGAGAAAAAAAGGCAAAATCCATTGACTTCAAATTCCACAATCTAAGCAACATTAAATAAAATGATTCTTCATCATCCCACTAAGACGAAGAAGTCGAATTAGAAAATTGAAAAATGGAGGAACAAAGTTCACGCCTCTGCGAAGGGAGGGCTTTGGACAGAGGAAACCGGCAACGGAAGATGGGACTATTGAACAAACGGGATGGAAAACGACAAAAAAGAAGCAGGTCTAATAAGTGAAGTACACATAGTCTATTATGACTGTCAACTTGAGGACTGAGATATCACCGCCAACCGAAAGAGAAAGTGAGGCAGAGGAAGCGAACGACCAACATGGATGAGAAGGGGTCAAAGAGGACGACACCACGTCAGCAAATAAAACGGGTAATTGGCATGAAACCGTACCACAAAAGTGGATCCCCTCTTTTTATTAAGTAGATATTGTCGAATACAACGTAGTTAATATATGGATATACCATTAATGTACATACATACCATCACATGCATGTCCAAGGTATTTGGTATTCTCTTCCTCTTACAATAATTTGTCTAGTTTGAATTTATAAATACCTTTTCGGGATGTGAGCGACAAAAAAAGAGGTTAATTCCTGAATGTTTATAATTAAATTAACGTGTAATGAAAATGTTTTATTCTAACCACATTAGACTTTACCCGTGGTTATTTAAATTTTCAATGCCGTAGGGTAGGCCATACCTATATGTATCATTTATAAGGAAGGCCTGTGTAAACTAGATGCTAAGAATATAAAAAAAATTGACAGCACGCTTTTTTTTTTCTTTTTTCTTTTTGGATTGGAATAAATAATTTAAAAGCACTCTGTTAAACATTAATATAAAGTGAGAAAAATTTTATTTTATTTTTTTGAAAAATAAAATTTTGTAATATATATTAAAACAAACCAAATGGAGCAATAGAATGTGCTTCATTTTTTTTCCAAACATACTTAAAAGGTTTCATAATAAATTAAAGAGTGAATCTCAAAACAAGTCATCAACCTTTAATATATTTCCACTATAGGTCATCAATTAAATTTATTTGTAACACAGGTTACCTTACTAAAGTTTTAATCCATTTCAGATTATTCTGTTAATTTTGGCCGTTAAATAGTGATGGAAATCTATTTTTCACATGCTTTTGGGTTCAGGGGTATTTTTGTCATGTTATTATTATTATTTATTTTTTAATCTTTAATTTTTTTTTTTTTTACAATTCTTCTTCTTATACTTCCTAACTTGTATACACTGGTAGTATAATTCTATATTTTAAAAATTTATTTTTCTTTTGTATTTTAACTTCTAGATTATAAAATTTTTTTAAAAAAATTTAAGAAATGAAGAAGAATAATTCGAGTTAAAGTAAACATGAAAATTAATAATTTACCATTTTAAACAAAAAAAAACTAAAAGAATTAGCTAAGACAAGTTGTTTCTTCTAGGTTATTTAATTTTTTTCAACTCGATTGAATTATTTAATTATTAATTTTCACATTTCTTATTCCTTTTTTATGTATATATAATCTAGAAGTTAAGATACAAATGACAAACAAATTCATTTTTGAAAATTAATTTGTCATTTGTATATTAACTTGTAGTTTATTAAAAAAAAAGAATAAGAAACATGAAAATTAATAATTAAATAATTCAATCGAGTTGAAAAAAATTAAATAACCTAGAAGAAACAACTTGTCTTAGCTAATTATTTTAATTTTTCATTTTTTAAATGGTAAATTATTTATTTTCATGTTTACTTTAACTCGAATTTTTCTTTTTCATTTCTAAATTTTTTTAAAATTTTTTTTATAATTTAGAAGTTAAAATACAAAAAGAAAATAAATTTTTAAAATTTAAAATTATAATACCAATATATACAAATTAGGAAGTATAAGAAGAAGAATTGTAAAAAAGAAAATAATTTAAAGATTAAAAAATAAAAAAATAATAAAATGACAAAAATATCCCTGAACCTAAAAACATGTGAAAAATGAATTTCCGTCACTATTTAACAGCCAAAA